AAAGCAGATTTCCACCTCCAACATCCACCCACATTTAGGTAAAAATGAAATGTGTCAACATTCCTGAGGAAACATTTAAAAATGGAAATGAGCTGGAGACAGAAGTGTTCCAACATTTCCTTTCTCATCAACTCTTGGCAGCACTTGTGCTGCCAAATACTTTTCTGCTGGACATTATAGGATCTGTCCATCCACTTCATAGGATCTCCGTTGCTGCTCAGGGTCTGAAGTCGTCAGACCGCCTGTGTGAAATGCCTTTCTCGTACTTTGTTAAAAGGCTGTTCCACCTGGAACCGCTTTGTTTCCCATTTTCCTCTTCCTGTGCTCCAAGGACTAGACTTTGAAGTCAGATTATTCCAGTTTTAATCCTGGCCTCTCCACTTTCTGGCCACTGGATCCTGGCTTAACTCTTTAATCGGTCTGGGTCTCAGTTTCTTTACCTGTGAAGTGGGGCTGTGTAGGGCTGGGAACAAGTGCTGGCAGAGCCACTGCCAAGGGTCCCCACTGCTGCCCTGAAGTCACTGCTGGACATGCATCACAGGCACATTTCCCATGAGCTGCTTCCAGTGGGTGACAGAGGGCAGCAAGGATGCCACGGCAGGATTGTCCCCAGGAGACAGAGGACTCCTCGGACAGCTGACTTTGGCTAAAGAACTCCTCGAAGGCCTTGCCAAACTTCCTTAGACTGCGGGTGCTTTAGGATCCTTTCCCCATCCTCTCTTCCCTCTCTCCTTGGCTTGTGGTCACAAGTGCTTTTCCCCTAATAACATTTATATACATTTAGTCCCCTCTTGGCACCTGCTTCTGAGAGGACCTGGCCTCACACGGGGTGGTGATACCTCATAGTGAGGACCACATGCAGCTGTGTAAGCAGAATCTTCCAGAGTGACAGGCACAAGGCAGCGCTTGTTAGGTAAGCAGTGAGGGTTCCCGTCACCTTCATCGCCATTGCCGCCACCATCCTCATCACCATCTGCTCGGTTTTGCTTCTTTGCTGGTTCCATGTCACGGCACATCCCGGTCACAGGGGTGTGCATTAGAGTGAGAGGTACTGTGGTGTCTGAGGAGAAGAAATGGATTAAAATACCCTTTGGAAATTTGTCCAATGTAAGCACAATCCAAATCATTTCCAGTCATTGAAGTGTGCAGTCACATTTGCTAAAGCGACTGACTCAAATGCAGAAAAGGCTTTGTAATGTTCTGAGGTCCCTGCTGGCACCCTTGACATCTACAAATACGCTTCAGTCATATGACGGGGCGGCTCATTTGCTGTTCCCAAGAACCTCAGGGAGAGTTTATTTATTTATTTATTTTTTTGAAAAAGCATCTGTATTTTTCACAGATAAACAGAAAACCTAAATGAAAGTTTCAAGGTCAGCCAGTCACTGACAGGTGTGGGGCTGAAACTCTGGTTTTTGCTCTCGTGTTCTGGAAGCTCAGGAGTTGGTGGATTCTGTTCATATTCTGCTCCCAGGGACAGCCTCTTAGCAGGTCCTGGTATCAGGACCTGGCCTGGAAAGACCTTTCTCAAGTCTGACTCTGCCCCACCTCAGGGATGCTAGCAGCTCTGGAACCTTCCATGATGTGGGTCAGTGATGAAGGCCTGGCTCCAACTGGCGCCCAGGCTCAGGCCCTTGTTTGTCACTTGATGGTGCTTTAAGCTCATGTCGTTACCCGGCCCTGTGGCGTGTTCTTAAGTAGACTGGCAACTCTCTGAGACTGGGGTTGGGGGGACTGTGTCTTATCCCCACCATGGCACATCCCCTGGTGCCCTTCAGGGTTAAATAAGCATTTGTTTTTGAGGGTAGTGGTGATTCCGTTGAGGCTTTGTGTGTGTAAGCTGAAGGAATTGTCAAGAACAACAATGGCAACAACAACAGTAGAAAGCAAACATTTGCTCTATGCCAGCCGCTGTGCCAAAACACCGAGCTCCCATGATTAAAAGATGAGCATTCGGACTCCAGAAAGCTGGAGCTGACCTACTGGAGGGTATCAGCATACTGAGTGTGCCTGGATGAATCCAGGATAACCTCATGGAGGAGGTGGCTTTAGGCTGCGGAGGGTGGGCGTTTGCCAGGCAGATGAGGGTGGGAAGGGAGTTACTGGCCAAAAGAATAATTTCTGCAAAGAGCCTGTGGTGTGGGCAGTGTGCAACTGTGTTTGAGGCCCTGCTGTTCAGGATTGCAGGGGTGTCCAGTTGTTTTCTGTTTGCAGGTCATCTACATCTGTGTGGTTCGGATGTGCCAACATCCCTTATTTTCCTATTTCATTCATTTAATAATTGGCTGCCTACTGTGTGCCAGGCACTGTGAAAAAAGCCTTGGGGATTCAGAGGTGAAGGGTAAACAGGGCATCTGCCCCCTGGAGCTTTCAGTCTCATGGGAAAGCTGGACAAGGGCACAGGCTCTATCGGCAGCATCATGTAGGGGGTGCAGGGCAAGGGAGTCCTAATCCAGTACAGAGTGTATGAGTTGCCCGGGGCTCCTGGGACAAATTGCCACAATCTTATGGATAGAAAACAACATTCATCTATTATTGTAAGGTTCTGGTGGTCAGAAGTCTAAAAGCAGTCTTGTCTGGCCAAAATCAAACTGTAAGTAAGGCTGGTTCCTCGGGGGGCTCTAGAGAAAATCCTTCTCTGACTTTTCCAGATTCTAGAGGGACCATATTCCACGTCTTAGGGCTACCTTGCTCCAGCCCCTGCTCCTGTCCTTGATTTGCTTTTCTCTCTGTTCCTCCTGCCTCCTTCTTATAAGGACCTTTGCGGTTACCCTGGGCTCACCCAGATAACACAGGGTCAGCTTTCCGCTCAACATCTTTAACTTAGTCCCATCTACAAAATTTCTTTCGCCATGCAAGGTGACATATTGATAGGTCCTGGGATAGGATTGCAGGCTTTTTGTGTGTGCCTGCTAGGGTGGGCGGAGATGGTCCCAGAAGTGGTATTTAACTTGAGATCTACAGGTCAGAAGCTGGGTACAAATGGAAACAGGGGGTCACTCAGGAGGCTGTTAGATTGATTGCTCCAGGCCAAACGTGATTGGTGGCCTGGGTGAGGCTGCTGGCCATGAGGATTGGGAAAAGCCCAAGAGGTGAGATATACAAGGAGGCAGAAGCATGGGAAGTGCAGGCAATGTTGACAGAAAACCCCTCTGGACGGGCTCACCTTTTCAGCATCAACAAGGACAATTAGGGACCTGAATGCCACGTTTTCAGGGAAGGGTTACCCAGAGCGTAACACCCAGATTGCTGATTCTAATTTATAGCTCTTTCAGTCAAAGATTTCAGACAATTTGTGTTCTTGTAAGTCTGAGGGAAATTTAACATTGAATAGTTTTATTGGGCAGAATAATATACCATCAAAGACTGATGTTCAGCTTGCTTCTCAAAGAGAAAAGCTGATTTCCAGGGTCTGGGAGGAGAGGCAGGTGTCTGTGGATTTAAAATTCTTTTAAGTGATCACCCCTATGCCCAGGTGTTGTCAGGATCACGGTTGTTTTGAACGAGGAGTGACACTCCTTGGCTTTACCAGCACGGAGATTGGGCAGTTTTTAGCCCCTACCGGAGTGGGACAGTTTGCCCCATGTAGGTAATTAGGTTTGTCATCTCCTAATACCTGATTTACACAGCTGGGCTGCCCCACGACGGAGTCTGTAATAAGAATTAGAATAATGAAGGGAGGACAAAATTGAAGGCAATGGCCATTTGTTGCTGCATGAGCCAGATTTCTGTAATGCATGATATAGCATTATGTGTGTGACGCTATCCTGAGCTTCCTGCCATCACAGAAAAGCCTCCAGCTTAACATATTTATTTCCAAGGTAATAAAATTGCTTGTACAGAGAAAAGGGACCTTAGAGAATTCTCTGTGTTCTGAAAACCATGAGAAATTTCCTTTCCAATGGCATCCAATAGAAGAAAAATTCTATTACTAATGGATCTGGAGTGATTGTATCTAAGTCATCACATTTTCTATTAGGAAATACAGTTAGAACCTAATTTTATTATTTTTTTCAGGAAACCAGGTTAATTGACATAAAACATCACTCATCGTTTCCTTCTATTATTACAACCATTTTTCTTTATCTTTACTATTGATAGTCTTCAGAAATCCAAACCTTCTTTACTGTGTCTGATTTTTGGTTCTTCTCCCTTATAACAAACTCATGCTTTTTTCCTTTGCTTTGTGACAAGAGGGACTTTTGAAGTTGCGACATGGTCATCTCTTCTCTGCTGTTGGTATTCTTTAGTCCTTGGTAATTTTATAGAGTAGCTGGATATTTTTCTCCTATTTATTTCTTCTCTAAGTTGAACAATATGTCTGTTTTAAAATAAGGCGATTTGTTGTATTTCTTATACATTGTTTAAAGAAGGAAATTGGCTGGGCTCAGTGGCTCATACCTGTAATCATAGCACTCTGGGGGCCAAGGTGGGTGGATAGCCTGAGCTCAGGAGCTCAAGACCAGCCTGAGCAAGAGTGACAACCCATCTCTACTAAAAATAGAAAAATTATCTGGGTGTTGTGGCAGGTGCCTGTAGTCCCAGCTATTCGAGAGGCAAGAGGATTGCTTAAACCCAGGAATTTGAGGTTGCTGTGAGCTATGATGATGCCGCGACACTTTAACCTAAGCTACAGAGTTTAAGACTGTCTCAAAAACAAAAAACAAAAACAAGGAAACTAAGGGAGGAGATGCATTATAAATAACAGAGAGATGGCTTTCCAATTTGGACCTTTGTAGAAAAATATAAACATTTCAAATGCAGTTAATACTTTTTTCTTTTGGAAAAAAAAAAGAAAAAGAAATTAGGACTCCTGGGGCTCATTTTTTAGAACTCAAATGGGCACCTAGCGCTGATGAAATTTCCTCACTGCAGGCTTGGCGAACCAATTTGTAATCCTCACGTTGAAAGCTCAAGGAAGACATCTGTGCTTTGTTTCTGACAAATTTCATGCTTTGTATTCATAAACAAACTCTCTTCTCCCCACCCTGACTCCTCAGTGGCCGTCCCCGCAGCAGCGCCAGCCTGCCAGCCCAAGAGCGCCACTAACGCCGCCAACACCACTAACGGGCACCCTGCGGCTCCACGCCTGTCCATTTCCTCCCGAGCCACGGTGGTAGCCAGAATGGAAGGCGCCTCCCAGGGGGGCCTGCAGACCGTCATGAAGTGGAAGACAGTGGTTGCCATCTTTGTGGTCGTGGTGGTCTACCTCGTCACCGGCGGTCTCGTCTTCCGGGCATTAGAGCAGCCCTTTGAGAGCAGCCAGAAGAATACCATCGCCTTGGAGAAGGCAGAATTCCTGCGGGATCATGTCTGTGTGAGTCCCCAGGAGCTGGAGACCTTGATCCAGGTGAGCAGTGTGGGAGTCGACCATCCAGCAACCTGGGGGAGGCACCACACAGCTTTGCTTTTGTGTTTCTGGGTGGTCAGGGAAGTCCTCTCAGGGAAGGAAGAGGGGCCACAGATGCAAAGGCCCTGATGGAGGGGCAGGCTGTGTTCTTTGTCACCTGGTTTGGGATGAACGGTCAGAGGCAGCAGCAGGCAGGCCAAGGGGCTTTGGATTTTCAAGTTCAAGTTCACCCATGTGTGCTGATTAACTTTCTGGCTCTGAACTCTGTGGAAGGCTGGGATAAGAGGCTTCTTTCCTCGAAGCCAAAGGAAAAAATAATTTTAAGCAAGCAGGGATCTGGTAACCTATACGAGGTCCATGAGGATGAGATGGAGAAAAGGCCACCGGGTATGTGGATGAAGAGGCTGTTGGTGGCCTGAGAGAGCCGTTTTAAGCAGATTTATGGGGATGAAATAGTAAGGCTAACAGTAATAGTAACTGTCAGGCTTGCTGTTGGTGATACTTGCTGTGTGCTGAGGTGAAGGGGAAAAGGGTCCATGAGAAAATGGAGGCAGAGCACTTGGCTGCACCCTAAATAAACAAGGCAGTGCAACCTGGAAGGTGGGAATGGGCTTGGCGGGGTAGAACGTGGAGGTGAAGGGCTGTAGGAAAGCAAGACCGTCGTCTAAGATGGCGTGATGGTGCAGGATGGAACACAGTGCTTGAGAAGTCCAGGATGGAACACAGTGCTTGAGAAGTCCGGGAAGCCTGAGAGAGGACCAGGTCCATGAGGAAGAGTGGGAGACTCGGTTGGAGGGCTTCTCCTTGGAGGTGTCTCCGAGGCTGAAGTCTGACTTTGAGGACACCCTCCTGAACTGCCAAGAGCAGGTTTGGTGGGGGGGGGGGTGATGACATTTATAGAGACAAGGGAGTCTCATCTTTCTGAGGGTTGTAAAGTTTAGAAGGCAGAGGCATGGAAAAGACAGCTTCCACGGTTCCTTCTGGCTCCGGGACGATGTGCCTGTCATTCTGATGGCTACCACCATCCAGGACTGTACAGGAGTCATAAGTCTAGGTTGGCTTATTGTTTATTTATTTCAAACTATACTGATAGGGTAGGGGAATTCTGATGCTACTTGTGATCTGGCACCTTCCTAGTAATCATATTCTTTTCAGTTAGTTTTAACAACCTGACTTGACTCTCAAATAAATGGAAATATAAATCCACCTCCCCTCCAGGAATAAATACAATTTCATAAGTATGTCCTATATTTTTTATTTCAAAAGTAAATTTTTTATTTTATTTTCTTAATTTTTAGCTGGATTCATTAATGCAGTCGTGGGGTACAATGTGCTGGTTTTATATACAATTTGAAATGCTTTCATCAAACTGGTCAACATAGCCTTTGCAGCATTTTCTTAGTTATTATGTTAAGACATTTATATTCTACACCTAGTAAAATTCACATCTACCCTTGTAAGATGCACCATAGGTGTGGTCCCACCAATTACTCTCCCTCCACCTATCCTCCCTCCTCCCCTCCTCTCCCTCTCCCTTTCCTCTCCTTCTTGGGCTATAATTGGGTTATAGCTTTCATAAGAAAGCTATAAATTGGTTTAATAGTAAGACTGAGTACACTGGATAAATTTTTAAATGTTAAAGTCCAAGGGCAGCTTTTCACATAATTTTCATAAGAAGTTATTTCTTTGGCTGGCCTTGTCTTTTTTTTTTTTCTTTCATAGGAAAACGCTACCAAATAAATGGTGACAGGAATATTGTACTAGTCAGTGCCAGGTTTGAGGCCTTATGTGCCACAGAGAATGGAAGAAACAATTCTGGAATAATTTTAAATGAGAGTAAAATCATATTTATACATCTTGTGGAATGTGTTGGGATCCTTTTTTGAGTTGTGATACATGTAGAGTAACCTAATAGGTGAATGGAATCTAGTACAAAACTTAAAATTTCCTCCCTAAGACAATGAGATCTTGAGGAGAAGAGACCATGACATCTTATCTTCCCATCTATGTGCAGTCCATGAATTTCTTTGCATCTAATTATTGTTCCATAGATAAATGGTTTTGGAGTGAGATATGAAAGAAAATCTAGAACATTGGTGATGGTGCAAGATATCTGAGCCTCAGGTCATACATTTGTGGATTAATTCAGTCTTTCTGTAGGGCCTGTTCTTTGACATTTCTCCTTTCTGAAAGATTTCACAGGCCAGGAGGAAGGACAGGGTGGGGGAGTGTGAGGTCCTAATTCTGGTGTTGCCTTGAATACCTTCCCCTCTTTAGACCTCAGAGATTCTCTGTGAAAGAGGTGCATGTGTGTGAATGTGTGAGTACTTGCACATGGGTGTGTATACGCTTAAGATAATTTTATAACAATTAAGAAAGCTACCCTTTATTAGGCACCTGTTATGAGCCAGACACCATATACCCTTTATCTTATTTAATCTTTCCAACAACGCTCTAAGCTTGTAACATATCCCTGTTTTACATGTGAGAAAACTGATGCTGTAAGAGTTTGAATAATTTTCCAGCCATCGAAGTGGCAGAGCTGGGATTCCAAGTGAGGTCTATCTGACTCTACATGGACTCGCCCAGTGAGTCTACAAGCCCTTTAAGTAGGTCTTGCTGTGTAATAAGCTCCACTCTTTCTTAAACATTTGCTTTATGTTTACCACTCTCCAGAATGTTAGCAATCACACATCCCTGGACTCCCTAACAAGAGGCATTTCCCTCTCTCTTCCCCTTGTCCCCTTTGGGCCTGGGATGCTTTCCAGTTCTCCATCAACTATGATTCAGGGATTTGCACTGGTGCTTATCTATGGTCTTGCTCACAGTACAGGTTAAACCGGTTTGATTGTTGAATCTGTGTCAATCAAGAACAAAATCATTATGCTTTGCCCTTTAGTTCACTGATAGGTTCCTAAGGATGAAAGTGTCCACACTTAGAGACCAGGGAAGCATCCTCACCCTGTGTTCCTCTGAGCATGGTGTATATAGTGCTCCCTGGAAACACAGCATTTAAAAGTAGTTTATCTTCACATTCAGAAGGGTTTTCTGTGTGCCAGCTTTTAAGCTGGAGAAATAGTATTAACGTATTTCACCCAAGTCTGAAAGGAGTGACTGGTGGAAAGAAAATAGATTGATGGCATTTATTTGGTCACGACTCTTGGCTGGGTTGAGTGGACTTCTCATAAAGCTAAGCTAGAAGGTGTGATTCATATTATCAATAACAAAAACAGAGTACCTGAAATAACATAACCCCCATAAAAATGCCTGGATATTTTATTTTTAATTTTTATTTATTTATTTACTTTTTTTTTTTTTTTAAAGTGAGGCACAGAGAGCATTTATATACTTTGCCTGAGCTCACATTACCTGGATGTTTTAGAAGAGCCATAGCTGGGGAGGGATTTCTGATGAGTTAAACTACTTTATGGAATATTGTGGGGCTCTGGGGGAGATGGATGGGGCGCTGTCCCTGAAAGGTGAGGAAGGACAGAGGACTGTGTCATCTATCTATTCGCTGTGTCATCCATTCATTTCTTCCTCCATCCATCATTCTCTGAATTGCTGTTTAACTTCTGCCGGATCAGGCAATATGCCAGGTGTTAGGGATAGCAAGATGAGAGTAAGCCACACCTTGAGCAGGTTACGAACCTCTTTGTGCTCCAGTCTCAGTACCAGTGAAATGTGGCTAAAATCCTCTGCCCTTAAAGGTATGGGAGGTGAAGTGCAATAATCGATACTTAAACTGTGTTTTCCACATAGTGAATGCTCAAAAAGGATAGCTATTACTGTTGCTGTGATTACTATTACTCAGATTTTCAAGCAGTGGTTCTCTAGGTAGCAGGGCAGGGTGAAGAGGGTTGTCTCTGTGTGAGTGGGGATGTGGCAATGTCTGGAGAGATTTTTGGTTGCCACAGCTGGAGAGGTGCCACAGATGTCTAGTGGGTAGAGCCGGGGATGCTGCTAACCCTCCTGCAATGTCAGGCATGACCCGCTTTGAAGAAGAATTATCTATGCCAACATGTCAACAGGTCGAGAAACCCTGGAGGGAGAGGCATGTAAACCAACAGTTAGAATTCCTTGGAAGAGAGCTGTTTGAAAGGCATGAAAAAGTGGGAGCAAATAGTGGTCTGGGAATATTTTGTACCTATTTATGTCTTTTAGTCCACAGTTATTCTACAAGGATCAGAGGAGGAATTGGGAAGAATTGGGAGAAGACAAGTTAGAATACTGCATTGTCAAAGGTGACAGATGCTAGAGACAGAGAAAAGGCTACATTTACAAGAGTTGACAAAGGAAATTTGCAATTGCTCATGCCCCATTCAGCAGAGATTTCTGGAGTGCCAGGTCTGTGCTCCGTATCCTTCCCTGCCTGTGCCAACAGAGGCCACGTGGTCCCGGCATGCCCTGGAAGCCCCAGACTGTGGAGTTAGCCTTCCCGAGTTAAATTCTCTACCACTTACAGGCTGTGCCACTCGGGCAAATAATCACAATCATCCCTAGTCTCACCTTCCCTCTGTAACATGGGGATTGTGATAATAATGTCCACCTGTTAGGGTGGTTTGAGGATTGACCATAAAAGCTCAGTAACTTTTAGCTGTTGTTATTGCTGCAGTTTACTTGTATTTGTTAGGGAAGGAATTAAAAAACAAACAAACCCAGAAAGCTCCTAAATTATGTGCGTCCTGGAGTTCTGCCCAAGGGAAAGGAGAAGCAGCTTCTGAAATGCTCTTCAGGGCTCCATTTCCTAAAGTTTCTAGTTGACAAATGTTCCTTCTGCCCTTTGTGTGCAAAGTACCCTCACATACATCGCTCCCCCATGGATGAGCTGGGCTGTCTGGACCATAATTGTCTTTGTGGCTGGAACTCAGGGGAGTGCGTAGCAATTTTCTATCCCATTTACAGGGCCTACTCCAACCACCTAATCATCTTTACCCTACGCTTTGGTGGAGAGACTCAGCCTCATGTTTATTAGATACCAGGCCTGGCTTCACTGATCT